AATTGCCAACTTATTTGTGGTTGTTGCATACACATAATAACACGCATTCACGAAGCTCTAACAAGACCCAGGATTACAGGATCATACGATAGTTTATTTGCATAAATAAAAGTTGTGATCACATCCACTCCCCTTCCTACATGCATGAAGGACAAGCGATTATCATCCAACCAAATCATGGAATGTCTCATCAAGATCGCAAAATGAGGTGTAAGAAGTAAGTAGGATCTCGGCTGCCACTCTTTATCGGTTTAGTCTTTTTGGTGATTTTTCGTAAATAATGGTTTCTGCTTTAGACGATGTCCGTCACAAGACGGACGATGGCTCAGCACGGAATCATCGGGATCGAAGGACGGTGAGCAAAGGTCTTCTTCGCACAATTGAACAGACGAACATCCAAGGCAACCCTCCTTTGGTAACCGGTGAGGCCTACTTCTCAAACAAAATCAAAGTTCTGCAAGTATCAATCTACTGACGGATTATTTGAAACCCATCTTCTCAATATATGCCTTTTTATTTGAGTCATGGAAGAATTTATTTCCTAATAGCAATTATGAGCTACTCTATTAAATTTCGTATTTAGCGCTTTTAAATATCGTTATTTTCATTTTCCTTATATAACTAAATATTTTGTGGACAAAAGTTTCGAAGTTTTCGTTAAGGGGATAAAAATTCTACTTTTTTTACAGAAATTTTCGATCTTAAAGGCACATTTTTTGGATGAGGCAAGTAACTTTCCTCCATAAAATTGCTTCAATCGCAAGTATTTACAAAAATTTGATCAATATCAAGGAATTGAAATGTTTAAAAAAACAATTTTATTATGTACCGATTTTTCGTCTTTTGAGAGCAATGAAAGAAGTCAATTTTATTTGGTTATACTGTTATAGTCTATTTACTTTCTAGAACTAAGAGCTCAAAAGAAATAAGTCAATCTAATTTTGTACAAGGACTTCTATGGAAAACGGGCGGTTAAGGGCAGATCAAATGAAGCAAAGAACCAATCTTGTTATTTGCCATCTAAATCGATTTAAAGTATCTTCTCATCTTCGTTACGCTTTCTGCACAAAACGTGTTTTCAATTAGTCTTTAAAGCAAGCATTCCAATAGAATATATTTGATACGTAAATAGCGAGAGAAATAAGACTGTGGATTTCTAAGCATAATTTAAACAGCGCTTATTGTACATATTAAGGATATTTCCATTATGTATGAGCATAAATTCAGGTTCTGATTGGAGATATACTGTTTCACTTTATTTCACCAATAAGCACTAGAAGATAACTATGCTACTCGTGAAGAATAAGGAGTATTTGAGGTAAAAATACTTGCTACTAAACTTTGTTCATTTATGTAAGGTATAAATATCAACAATGCCTAAAGAAGCGCTTATTTTAGGTCGCCTAAAGTAATATAAGAACTGTTAACTAATTTTTTTTTCAAAATTAGATGAGTAGGCCAAACTACACCATAGAATTTCAGTTATTTTTGCTTACAAAAAGTCAATATTATCCAAGTTGGTCTGCTGGCCTAAACTCACCTTACTTTCATACACTTCCTTAGGCTTATTTGATATCAGATTGTGAGTATCATAATGATGTTACCACTACATCAAACGGCCACGTATGCCATTGGGTAGTAGGGCAGAGGCAACATTTAAAATTGGCTAAGCCCTCCCTAACTCTTATTTCTAATTGGATTGTCGATTATGCAGATTTTTTTATTATTATTACAATTAATGTTGGTAATTGTTTTCCAGTAGAAAGTACCCTAAGCGACATAGGCTGATAAAGTGCTTAGTCAAGAATTAAAAAAAAAACAGCATTGAATGCTACTGATATCCTAAACAAGTAACGCTGTTCAATATAGTGGCAAAAACTCGGTTGCCTCGTCGACACTTATACTATAAAAATGTGATTTGGGCGAAATTTTGCTATTCGCGTTCATCAATTGCTGTGCTACAGAGTTGCAACCCCGCTACGATACCCAAGAACTGGTTTTGAATCACTTTCGGCCTTCCAAGGAGACGGTGAGGCGGAAAAAGCAATCCAGTTTAGCCGGAATAAGTTTTCGAGGCAAAGCTTCCATATCATCGTGGGGTGTACTGAATTGATGGTAGGAAAACTCAACCTTAGGCTAACCAGCTTGACCAAGTGGTTAGTTAAGCATATTTCACATATAAGCTGAAGGATTCCCGAACCGTGATGAAGGCTGACTCGGAGTTCGTTACTACCAAAGTAACTTGGCCAAGTCCACTCGAGCACATCACCAGTTGTCTGCACGATTGGCACCAGAGGCCGAATTCTCGAGATAAAAATCACCTGAACACGAGCCTCGCCGCGTCGGTTAAGATGGTTCTGCATAGTGACAGACAGCGGCGATCTGAATGCAGGTTAAACTGGACGCTGCAAGCTTAAGACAGAGACCTTGTTGAAGATTTGTGCAGTGCAAATCTTTTCACCATACCTTCGCTTCGAGTGGATGGTGCCCTATTGATTAACCACTTGCCCCAGCCAGCCAGGAGATGCCAATCACCTGGTGATGAGCTCTGTCTATCATAGCGACCTGCTTCCGGTTGTGGCAAATGTGTTCGTCTAAGGTTGCGATCGATAGAGAAGACAATTGCCGAAATAGGGCTACACCATTATCACTACAAACAGACGTCTCACATCTCATTTATTAAAGTTGATGAGATGAAACGAAATCACCTCCACCAACTCAGAGCCAATTTTTTCCAGATTTACTTGCGTATCATTGCACTTCAGCCTCAGTTTGTGCATTAGGTCAAAGTCCTAAGAAAGAATGGATGAAAACTATGTTGTTTTGAAGGTCGTTCGAGAAATGCAATTTCTGCTTTAAGGTGAATGCTGAAAGATTTCGCACTGTCCTCTTTCGTGGTTCTTGTGAATATCCTTTTCAGATGAATTTATCTTCAATAATAGCGTAATGTCTGAATGCGCATTCATGTTTTCCTAATTATGGCATGGGTCCACTATCGCAGTACCAACACCTAATCGATTATGCCAGCAGTGATTGGAATCATGAGAGAGCTTGATACATAAGATCAAATTAAGGGGTCTACCAGAATATAATGGACTCTATAAAGTAATGCAGAATAGATAACAATATAGGATAAATAATTTCCAAAGATCGGCCATAAAATTCCCAGACCGAGAATGGCGTGAACTGGCAAGTCCTTTTATAAAGCAGTAGAGTGCAACTTTAGTGTAAGTATTAGTGGGGTAACTAAAATATATGGGTTGTCTTAGGACGAAATTACTAGATAAAGATGTTTCCATCACAACATCTAGCTTCAAAAGGATACATCTCAGAATCAGACCAATTAGATCTATTAGATCTATGTTTCATCTAACAGTGTAAAGAGCAAGTAAACAAGACGCATAAAACCTAGAGACATGATTATTACTCATTCGGCCTGATTCATTTAAGCATTGAAACTAAGGAACTCAGATTTTTCAAATATAAAATGCTTTTCATTCTTTCCTTACATAAACTCTCCAGGATATAGCACGTGTCATAAAATTCTCAGCTGCCTGGCGCCAACTATAAAAAATAATTAGTGTCTCTGTTTTATCTATGCTCAAACCCGCATTGATAAAACGAGTAAAGCAAAGATGTATTTAATTATTATTCGGTAAAATACATAAAAGCTTGAATAATATCTTTAATCTATGCATCCAATCAGAGGACTGCTATTGCGAAGAAACCATAATTGATTTAATAAAAGGTTATGCAATCCATTATTTGGGCTAAAAATGTACACAACCTAGGCTTCTTGTCAACACATATATTGATTTCAAAAAGAGAAGATATAGAATTGGTTGTTAAACTGGGTGAATCTATGAAAAGCTAATCCAATCGCGTTTGTGGATGATTTGTTCGTGGATTGAATCCCTGCAACAAATTAACCTTAGAAATAGAATAATATCGATGTGATTCAAAAATATTTATTAATAGATATGAAGACCAAGATGTAGTGGCCCTTATTTTGATCGCAGTCCTCTTTCGATATATGGAAGTGGCCCGAGCTCGTTTCCGCAAATCGTTCACGTTGTCAGGGCGACCAAGTTGGACACACCATCACCAAAGCCCTCCTTGGCATGCTGTAGCTTGGTGCTAAGAATGGCAAGACTCACTGACGATGCTGGCGAAACGTCTGGGTATGCATAAAGTCCACTACCCGACGTAAGAAATTAACTTAACTACCAAAGCAGAGGACTTCAGACAAGATGCATTCAGCATTGTCCTTCTAATAACACGATGGTGTTTCAAAAACGAGGTCAAACCACTTTAAAAATATTTGTGTTTATAATTATTTTCAAAAATGGATGACAGCTATTGAAGCATAGATAAGAGGTCAATCACAAAGAAAGTATAATAGTGTAAGCAAGATTGATTCTAAAATATTTTTTTAGAAGAATTACTTTTAAAATAAAGGAAATCCATGAAGAATGTGTAAAGATGTGAATAGAGAGGTATAAAACCAAGCTATAATTAATAAATTGTAGATATGAAGACTAAGATGTTGTAGCCTTCTGTTCAAACACAGTCTCCTTTAGCTTTATGTTACTGGTTCGATCTTGATTTCCTCACATGGTCGGAGCATCAGGTAGAACTTGTGAAACGTTTAGGCGAGTACCAAGTCAATGGTGCAAAGCAGGTTATCACAGATATTATGACAGAGGGCGCAGGATTAGATACGTTCCACAGGGTTTCACTGACGCTCTGACCAATTTGCTAAGACAAAGTCAAACCAAAACTATACTTTATAAATGATAACGAGAGATTTTATCAAGATAACCTGGCTCAAAAAAGTTAAAATTAACTTTCCATCACCTGCTACGCATAGGGACAATTTTCATCCCAAACTCAAGGACAGACAACTCTTTTAAGCATAATCTAGAATGTATATTTGTCCAGACATTAAAACCTCCACATTTTTGTGGTATCAGTTGGCGACTAAAGTTAAAGGCTCCTTTGTTCTGTATACAAAAGATGCAAATACTTGATATATTCATAGATGTTTAGAAATAAAATCACTCAAATATATCTTCAAATTTCCCGTTTACAACAAATATTTTATCATCCATGCAAGATTTATATGGGCCATAAATAACACAAAGTGAAACTATTAAATTTATCCCATACATTTTTTTCCCTTAGTTTCCCTCTAATGGAATTTTATAAACAAATTTCGCATGCATTACTAGCAAAGTTAGGAGTATATAGTTACTACCTATGAATCCACTCACATCGAAAATATGTTTATAAATTTTATTCGACTTTAGATATAATAAAGAAAACTTACTGTGCAAAGAAGTGGGTTGATCTAGCTTTCGCAACTTGGCCCTGTTGTCAGAGTGATTTAGTTGGATTCAGCTTGTCCGAAGTCCTCTGATAGAATAGTTATCATAGTTGCCAGCGTTTGATCTTCAAAGCTCTGGTGTGATCTGGCCAGGATCCTGGCTCGGGAAGACTGTCAAAACCACTAAAAAATGATCAACATTAAATCGCATACAATCTCTGACTTAATAACAAAAAGAAAGGATAATAAATTGCCTAAGTTTGAGAGTATTAGGCAACCAATGCGTCCAGTTTTGGTGGTTGCCTAGGTGACAACACCTACTAATAATTACGACGATCGGAAGAAAGTAGTGAATTTATCATCACTTCCTCTTAATCCTGAAATCCCAAAGATTCCGAAGGAGGGACTCAACTACCCACTTCATAATGACAGAAGCCTCCTAGAAGACATCCTGGTGGAGGTTTTCAATATCTCCGGCAAGTTTATTAAGGAGACAAAACGGGAAATGGAGATGGAAGATATTTCAAAGACCTTGAAATATCAAGAAACAACACACAGAAAAAGATTTGCCAGGATGAGCAAGACCGACCGCAGAAATGAATGGATGATTAGAAGGAACGATATTGATAATAGACAAAAAACAATACACTGAAAAGATGGAATCTATCCTGCGAGACAGGACTACATATCGATGTGTGATTCTGGGATGAAGAATCGGATATTCATCGGCAATGGTTACGCAGACGAATTCATACAAAGAAACATACGGTCCATGAAAAGCCTATGACAGAACGGGGACTATGAAAGAACAGTAAGGAGAAGAAGGATTAACCAAAGTGGATATGCCTACCTTCCTGCGAACTAACTAAAAAACGATGGCCAATCTTAAAGAAATGGAATATTCGGGTGGGCATGAAAGAATTATCAACACTTTTCACAAGTCTACCGACGCAGGAGGAAAGGGTAGTCAAAATGGATTGTTCAGGAGTTTACTGTATATCATGCGGCGCCTGCAAACAGAAATATATTGGTGAAACAGGGAGAAAGATTAGCACACGAATCAAGGAACATCAGAGGCTCTGTAGGAAAATGGATACCGAAAGATCAGAACTAGCGGAACACATCGCACAGACTGGACACGAGATCAACTGGAAGGCAACAGAAAGAAGAGCTTCATGCAATAAAAACACAAGAAAACGGAAGATTATGGAGGAAATAGACATCCTTGGAGAAAAAATCTAATGAACATTAGATTAGAGGAAAGTAGAGTTAGCGATAACTTTGCCTATTGCTTAAGCAAATTATTGGAAAACAAGGCTACGGCAAGACCGACAAAAAGGAGGCGGCTGGATCGGGCGAAGACATTCTCAGTAGATGAAGTCTGCTCGAAGAAACCAGTACAACTTTGGGGCCCTGCCGGTCACGGAACAAAGGAGACGGGCCTAGACGTCCTGCTCG